GGCAGGGATCTGGCCCTGGTGGATCTGTCCACATTTGGAGTCGATGTGGCTCTGCAATATTTCCTTGGCCTGGGCAAACAAGTGTGGCATGGGGGTGGRCATTTGGGCTACCATGGGTGAGAATAGGACACCAGCCTCATTGTCGTCTAGGGTTGCAAGCGGGGGCATGCTCACCCTGGGTAGGGCTGTGCTGCTCCAGGACAGGGTCTGCTGGTCAGCGGAGGAAAGGAGCAACTGGATGGACTGCTGAATCTTTGGGGGCAGGCCCCAGCGATGGTGAATCAACTGCTTCTGGAGATGGAATTCCAGCAGCCTGCGGGCATGCTCTGGGAAGAAGAGCAGTTCCCTGGTGAGGACTGAGAAAGACTTTCCTGGACAGGAGGTCTTCATGGTCTCAGGGGGTTGGATTTTGTCACATGGTTCATAATGCAYGGGGCTTGGGGCATGCTGAGATCTCTGGAAGACTGCTGGCAGGCCCCACTGAAGCTGGAGTTGCCTCTGCAGCAAGTGCCATTCCAAGGCTTCACACTCAGCTGTAGTCAGAAATGGGACACTGACTTGATTCTTAGAGGGAGACATGCAATTTAKGGGGTTTGGGTGTGAGCCTGGGGCTGAGGTTGGGGCTGACTCAGGTGGAGTTTTGGACAGCAGGGGATAGAGCTCATTGAAGAGAAGAGAACCATTCAAGGGGGACCTGGGCATACTCTTGTTCCTGGAGAGTCCTTTAGAGTCCAWGAAAGTGGCCACCAGGGATTCACTATGCAGAGTAGGGAGGCCACAGAAGAGCTGGTTATATTTGCTCTGTGAGTTATTTGCCTGACCACYTGGCAGTGAATAGAGGTCATTTAGGTCTTTAAGGGCTGGAGATGGCAAGGCTAAAGCCACAGGTTTTGGGATTTTCTGGCAGTGGTGTCTTTGTTCTGAATCTATAAGGGACCATTCAGAAACCCAGAAGGTCTGAGTGGGTTGGCCAGCCACATATGAGCACCAGGTCTGGTGAGAAATTGTCCCAAATCTATGGACACAGATCTGAGAAGTATTATTTTGGATTAAAGAAACTGGTTGGTTATTTTCAGACTGGCAATACATTGGTGGGTTTGGCATAAGCTGCCTCAGGGATTCCTCCACTCGCCTGGGGAGCCCCCACCTCTGGAAATGCATCCATTTTTTTACATGTACTTCAAGAAGCCTCAGGACTTCAGGACTAAAGAATGGCAGGTGTGCATAGGGGACTATATGCAAGGCCAAAGGTTGTGCCAAGGTTGTGAGCTCTTGGGTTAGGGGCATAAAAGTGACCTGAGTGTTCAAGGACTGCTGGCCTTGGTTCCCCTGGACAAAATTGGGGTTGTTCTGTCTCATCTCCTGCTCATTCCCTGGAACCACAGACAACTCAAGCCTTGAAGAAACCATAGTCTGTGGACCTACAGGCATCTCTACCAGTTGAAATTCCTGTCCTAGCGGGAGGCGATCAGTCCAGTATTCTTGAATGCTGATTCCTTCAGTTGTTAGTGCTGGGGTGACAGATGTCCCTGAAAGGTCTCTGGAGTGCTGGGAATGGAGCTCCAGATTCTGCTCAAAAGACATACTTGACATGGACAACATCTCTAAGCAGGAAGAGCCCTGTGATGGCCCCAGAAATGTGGGGGAGATCTGGTTGTTCTCGTCCTCCAGCAATTGCTGAATCTCCTGAGCCACACCATTGCAGATTTGGCAGTAGGGATCGGCACACAGAAGCTGCCTCACGCTTTCCTTCTGGGGAAGCCAGCTGTGGCTGGGAAGGAAATCATGGCAATCATTAATAGAGTGACATCTACCTCTGCAAGAATTGTGGACTGAGGATTTCTACCTCCATCCCTGAGTCCTATAAGAGTGGGGCCTATGCTATGAAAAATGAGTTCCTTATGGGAACTCATCATTCTGAGAATGAATCCCTTATGGGATGTCTGTGCTGCTGTACCCAGCCTCTGTTGATTATCAGTCTCATTCTCTAGAAATTTTAAGAATAGGCTCCTGGATGAGGGGTCCCAGGAATTGTCCTTCCTGAAGACAGACCAGAGGAGGAAATGTCAGCAGGGTCCAGGAAGACCCAGGAATCTTCCCTTGAAAATGTGTAACTCTTAAAAGAACATGAGAAAGAGGAGAGCTTTGTGCAATACCCATTCTCTTAATGGGATAATTGTGTCCTGGCTGAGTGTAACCCCATGTAGTGTTTTTTATTTACTGATCAAATCTTGAATTGTAGAACTACTGTGACCCTAGCACATTGCTGAATAGGGTGTCTCTTCCCTCTTGAGGTGTTTGAACTACTGTCTTCCCTTGCAAACCTCTCAACCAGGGAACCAGCCTCCATCCTGTCTGTCTCCTCCCAGTCATTATTCCTCTCCTCATTTCTGCTCCAGCCCAGGCTGAGAGACCACCACAAGGCAGGCTGAGAGTTGAAAGACTGCAAAGAGCAAGAGATCACCTTTTCATGACAGAGAGCAGCTTCCGCGGCTTCTCAGCTTCTTCTTGGCAAAATCTTCGAGCTGAGGAACCAGGACAGTTTTATGTCATGTGTGTACTTCAGGGACATTCTCTAAGAAGCTGGAGCCCTTTGACTCTCAGCGAGAGGGGACTGAAAAATTCAACTGTTCAATGCTCTAAGACACTTCAATGTAAATCGGATCATTCATGACTTGCTCTCCTGCRCCTATTATCATCTGACCTTCACAACCTCACTGTGAGGGAGGGTCATCAGATGGTTTTATGGAGGACAAGACTGAGAGATGAAGTGTTACAGAGGATTTTAAAACTAGCAAATGACCATTAAGGGCATCTGTTTTACTTCCTCTATTCTTTATTCTCCAGGGAATGAGGTAGACAATTTTCAAACATTCCCAGGTTCTGATTTCCTACCCACAGAATTCCTCTGTGAAAGTTGCCGATTTGGGTAGTTGGAGACTTCAGTGGTTAGAACACCCATTTCCTGACACCAGGGGTCATAGAGGGACAACTACCACATGGGAAGCTAGCCCACAGAGGAAGGGAGTCAGAGAAGAATTTAGGACTTTACCTCTTGATGCTGCATCTCTTGCCCTTTGCCTGACTTTTCGGTGACGCTTGAAGACAAAAACATTAGAATGAAAGTGGGACACCATTTTCTTTTTCATGTCCAAAATGAGACAAAGCTTACATACATTTCCTATCCTTTTCTATGTATTTGTCTGCATTTTATATACTCTTCTACATTTCCTTTACCTATACTTCATCTTTTTTTTCCACCTCAACATTTTTCCCTTCTCTGCTATTTCTGATTCTCTTTAAGTCTTTTCCAAACTCTGTACCTCCCATAGGTCTATGAGAAGTTCTGATGGAAATTGGCATAAAACAAGAGGAAGAATGGTACACCCTGAAGGAGGTATGGTTCTAATAGTCACAGGACTTGAGCTTGTAAGTGATTTAAAGGACTGTAAGCCAGAAATTCCCCCATATGGGGAAATCTTCTGAGAGCCAGTGAAGTAGATCCCATATCCAGGTCTCCACTCAAGTCAATCAGAGGTTGTTGGCTTTTCAGTTAGGGTAAAGTATATAGGGGTGAACTTGTTTTWAAAAAAATGCTTTTAGCCTCTGAGGAAAAAAGGACTATATAGAAGTACCTGAAGGTATGGTATTAAATTTGGCAGGGAGGGGTAGTGAGGTCATAAGGTGTGACCCTGGACCTTGAAAACTTAAACTAGTTCAATTGTGGTCACAGCGTTTCCCTACCCGGCAGCAGCTTCTTGTAGGCTCGAGCTTCAATCCACAGTAACTCCGTCTAATCTGCCAGATAATTAAGATAATGATGAAAATGAAGCCATATGTATATAAGAACTGTCCAAAGTCCCACAGAACAAATGTAAAGGTCAACATGGCCTAAGCTTCATTAGCATGAGGAGACCAACCATCTCCATATCTAGGCGTTCAGGGGCTTAGTGCCAAATGACTCCCAGTGCTTCACCCTTGTCATGTCCGCCTCACAGAGGACAGAACCAGGCTGCAGACTGCATCACAAAGCCCTCCTGTTTCACAAGGGAGGCTCATGTGGTGGTTCAGTCTGTAGGAGAAGGTGTCTGCTCCTCTGTGAAGKTTGCAGAGCCTGCGTCTAGAGGTGCCACACGCACATGTCTATTTCCCACTTTCTCTTCATTCTCCATTTCCCACAACAGGCTGCTGGCTCKGCTCACTCCTTTCACAACAACTGTTTGGTCACCTGTCCTMAGAAAACTGAGTGCTTTTGTGACACAGGGGAGGGAAGGAAGAGTGGAGGAAGAGTGACTGGGATGGAGGAACTTCACCAACTCCCCACTTCCCAGTAAGAAATGTAGGCTATCTCTAGCAGAGGTACAGGTGGGTAGTTGGGAGAGTTACAAATTCTTAGGTTGAAACCTAATCACCAGGATGATATTATTAGAAGGTAGGGATTTGGGGGAGGTGATTAGGTAATGAAGGCTGAGCCTTCATGAATGGTATTAATGAACTCATAAAATTATAAGGAAGTTGTTTTTCCTTTCACTGTAACAAGGACATGGTGCTTGTCCCTTATAGAGGATGCAGCCACAATGCATCATCTTAGAAGCAGACACAACTCTCACCAGAAACAGAACCTGTAGGCTCCTTGATCATGGCTTTCAGATTCCATAACAGAATTTTTAAAAATACATTACAGTGTGAGGCATTTTGTTCTAGCGGCAGAACAGATTGACAGTATATATTTAACTTTTTAAAAATTTCAAACTGTTCTCCAAGATGTTGGCACCATTTTCATTCCTGATACAGTGTAGAATAGTGCTGACAACCCTTGGTATAATCAGTCTTTTTAGTTTTAATGATTCTAATAGGTGTGTAATGGTATCTTGTGATTTTAATTCACACTTTCCTATTGAGTAATGATATTGAACATCTTCTCATCATGCCTTCCATTTATTTTATATAGTGAAGCATCTACACAATACTGTGTTGATTTGCAAAATACACTGAAAATAAATTACCAAGAACTGGTGCAGAGTTTTATTATCTATAAATCTATAAATGTCCAATTCTTGCCATTCTTCTTATGTGAACTGATTTCAAAAGAGCTAATTTTCTGATGGCTTTTAGGAGTCTAATACAGCACTATGAACTCTAATAAATATAAAAACATTCAATTTTCAAACAACTTTGAGCCTTGTGTATATATGCATGATCATTCCAATTGCTTGATCAAAGATGGACTTTAGGGGAGCAAGAGTAGAAAAGAGACTGTTAGGAGACCATTGTGGTARCCCAAGCTAGACATAGTTGGGGCTTAGACTGTGTTTTTAACAATCTTGGATTTGATGAGATCTTGTGAACATACTTTGGAAACACATGTTCTGATACATTGTTGAGGATAAAGGAAAAATAAAGAAAGAAGGAAAGACCCCAGGTTACTATTGGCATTAGAATTAGATGACTGATGCAATTTAACGACAATGTAAAGCCTGAGGATTATGAATTTGTGTGTGTGTGTGTGTGTGTGTGTGTGCGCGTGCGCATGCTCACACGCGCACACGCGCACACACACATGGGGAATTAATACTTCATATTTGGCTATAAGGTGTTTAAGGTGTCTATTACACATTCAAACAGAAATGTCAGGAAAGGAGTTGCATATACTGGTTAGAAATCAGAATGTAGGTCTCAGCAAGAAATACGAACTTGAGAGTCACTCACTAGCTTGACTGCAGCAATGTGGCCAGATAAAACCAACACTTCAACATCCAGGGGTTTTGTAGAGGAAGATGAGCCAGCAGAGAAAATAAAGAAGTGTCCWTGTTGAGTTTGAGGGAAAATGAGAGTATGACGTTCCAGAAACTTCAAGAAAAAGGTGTTTTAAAACAAAGGGAATGGTCAACCATGTTAAATGTTAATAAAAGGTCAAGTAGGATGAAGATAGAAAATGACCACTGGCTTTAGTAAGATAATGGCCATTTGTGTCACTAACAAGGTCTTTTCAGTGAGAGCCATGGGGAAAAAGCCTGATTGGAGGAGGTTCCACAGACAGTAGAAAGTGAAAAAGTAGGGCAGATGAGCATAGGTAGACAATACTTTAAATAAATTKTGCTGTAAAGGAAAGCAAAAGAGTTGTTTGGTAACTAGAAAGAATGTGAAATTAAGGGTATGTTTATGTGTGTGTTGAATTTTTATTTCTACATGTTTGTGTACTGTTGAGAATGATCTAGACAAATAGAAATTAATAGAAGGAGGGAGGAAAGTATGCGTGAAAAACAAAATCAGTAAAAATTGTTTTGAATTAGCATAATGTATATAAAAAAAAAACCTTGCTACTAAGCAAGTGTTAAAATTTTATTTATGTCTTACTTACAATCAGCATCTGGCTGCCACAGCCTGGTGATACCAGCACCTGAGATGGTCACACTCACACCCTTGACTTGATTACAGGTTCATTCAGCACCTGCTGAATGGAATGGAATTTGCAATGTAAATAGAACCWCAAGAAAAGGGATCAGCAGGTGGGAGGGTACTGGGTCCCTGGGGTTACATTTCCCAGTGGAAACTAGTAAATTGGCACTCTGACCTGGGCCTCAGTCTCTTTTGAGTTTAATTTCAGGGGTTCCATCCCAAAGAAATGAAACTCCAATGTTATTTGGCTATCCTAATATCTTTGCCTTTCCATATGAATTTTAAAATCTACCTTTCTACACATGTAAAAAAAATCCTGCTGAGAAGCTGGGGCCGTAGCTCAGTGATAGAGCACTTGCCTAGCATGTGTGAGGCACTAGGTTCAATCCTTAACACCACMTAAACTTAAACAAATAAAATAAAAAATACAATAACACTATTTTTAAAAGTGTCTCAAAAATCCTGCTGAAATTTAAATTGGGATTGTGAAAAATCTGTAGATTTAGAGAAAATAGATAACTATAGTGAATATTCCAATTCATGAGCATAATATGTCTTACCAGTATTTAGATTGTTGATTTGTTTCAGTGGTTTGTGATTTTGGGCATATATATCCTTCATGTATTTTGTTTCATTTTTACTTAAGTATTTTTTCCAGCTATTGGAAATTATACTCCTCTTTAAATTTTGGTTTCTAATTAATTATTCATTGTAAGAATGTGGAAATACATTGATTTTTGCAGGTTGGATTTGTGCTTTGTTCTGAATTTACTTGATTTTCTAGAGCTTGTTCATAGGTTTTTGTTTTTTGTTTTGTTTTTTTAATGTGGTGATGAGGATCCAACCCAGGGCAAGCATTCTACCTGAAGCTGAGCTACAACCCCAGCCCTTGTTCATAGATTTTTAAAAATTTCCTAGGTAGACAATCATGTCTAGTGAAAATAGGGACAGTTTAATTTCTATATTTTAGTTTGTATGGCTTTTATTTCTTTTTATTGACAATTTCATAGCTAGGACTTTCCATATGCTATTGAATAGGAGTAGTGTGAGGGGACATCTTTGTCTTGCTCCTGACATTATAGGGGAAATATTCAGTCTTTTCTGTGTATAAAAGGTTAGCTGCAGATTTCTCATAGATGCCCCTTATCAGATTGATGCAGTTTCCTTCTATTTCTATTCTACTGAGAGCTTTTTATCATGAATGGATGTTGAATTTTGCCAAAAAATTGTCCTGTGTCTGTTAATTGGATCATATAATTGTTTTTTTTTTTTTTTGGTACCAGGGAATGAATCCAGAGGGACTTAACCACTAAGTGACATCCCCAGCCCTTTTTTTAAAATGTTTTATTTAGAGACAGGGACTTGCTGAGTTGCTGAGGGCCTCATTAAGTTGCTAAGGTTGGCTCTGAATTGGTGATCCTCCTGAGGCTTCAGCCTCTGGAACCACTGAGATTAGAGTCATGCACCATCATGCTTGGCTAATTTTTTTTTTCTTTAGACTGTTGCTATAGTCGACTATACTGATTGATTTTGTGTGTGTGTGGGGGGGATGGTACTGAGGATTGATCACAGGGTGCTCTACTGAAGACAGACAGGCTGGTCAGACAAGATTGGACACTGAGGAATAACAGGGAGCAGGTTTATTGACTGCAGCCAGGTTCAGAAGGGGGACTTTTTGCCTCTATCAAATCACTCCTCT